AATAACAAGGTTACACGTGCTTCTTCTTTTCCCTTTTCTCCAGGAGGAACATAAAGAGCTCTTTCTTTTCTGCTTATTAATAGCTCTGATTAAATTATCTCTGAAAAATCTACGTGGTGTGCACCAATGGGGGCTCGGCTCCCTTCAGGCTCTGGCCTAGATTACAGCAATGAGGGCAGGTAAGGCAGGCAGTCGGGGGCTGGGGAGGGAGGCTGGGGCAGGCCTGCCCCCCCCACCAGGATAAAGGCTCAGTGTCCGCCTCCCTGCCTCCCTCCCCAGCCCCAGCTCAGCCTCTGACCTACCTCCGCTCTTGGGACATTCCCAGCTCCCTCCCTTGGGACACTAGGCCCTCGCTATAGCAGTCTTCTCTAGTGAGATGCTCTTCTTTCCCTTTCCCTCCTAGTAACTTCATGCTTCACAGGGCTGCTGATCAGCCTTTTCACCCTCACTAGCCCCTCTGCTGGGTCAGGGGCCTGTTCTGGGCTTTTCCCTTCCCTGTTGCCCTAGATAGTAACTGCTAGTTGCTCTCTCTGTACCCCCATGAAACTCAGGTTCTATGAAGCCAGAGATGGTGTCTGGGTCACTGCTGACTCCCCAGGGGCCAGCATAGGGAAGGCCCTTAAGAAATGAATGAATGAATGAATGAATGAATTGAATGAATGAATGAGCAGGCCTCAGGGGGTGAGGGCATGACTGACCTTACATGCCTACACAGTTCCAGGCTCCAGGCCCCTTGAGCAGTGCCTATGTGGTGTTTAACCCCATTTCACAGATGGGGAAAACTGAGGCATAGAGCAGCTGAGGCACGTGGCTAATAACCTGAAGAATCAGGGTTCAAACCAGTCATTCTGATTATCCCCATCATCCTCTCCCTGCTCTCCCTACCTACAAGAAAACAACAACAAAAAAACTAAATGAAGGGGCATAGTCATTCATTGATTCAGAGATTAATTCAACAAACCTTTACTGCGCACTGACTGTACGCCAGGCCTGTGCTAGGATAAAACAGTTTGAGTGCAGCCCCCCCCCCCACAGAGCCCCCAGGTTGGTGGGGAAGACTGACAAATAAGTGGGCCATTATAACACAGACTGGGTGTATCTTTAAACGGGGAAGCACTCTAGCCTGGAGACTGGCAGCCAGGGAAGGCTTCCCAGAGGAGGTGGCACCCTAGCTGAAATCTGAAGGAGGAGCAAGAAGAATCAACTACCTGGAGGGAAGACATTCTGGATGGAGAGGGACGGCATGGGCCTGGAAGTTCAGGAGACACCTGAGAGGATGTACAGGTATTTCAGCAAGGCCAATGTATAGGGAGCAGACAGGGCCAGTGAGGAACCAGGTGCCCTGTGTCCCCTGCCTCCTTGGGGCCTCTTGGGCCCCTGGCCACAGCCAGTGTTCAGACGCCTGCCCACTTGGTCATTCTGTGGACCGTGGCAAATCCATCTTGACACTGTCTCTATTCACATAATGCAGTTATTATATACAACCAAGAGCAAGGGAAGGCTGGATGGAGAGTAGGAGCAGGGGAAGGGGGCAGGCATGTGGTGGGTGGCATGGGGGGGAGTGCATAGGGTGGGACATAAGTGAAGGCCCATGACTGAACATCTTCTGGGGGTGTTCACCTGCCCAGAGGGGTGTCAGAGACACCTCTAAGACACCCCTCCACCTACAAAGCCACCTTGGAACCTGCCGTTGCCTGAAATCCCACTATTAACACATCATGGTTTCACAGCCTTCAGAGGTGGTGGGGCCTGGCTGTACGCTGAAAGAACACGGGGCCTTCGGAGACGGCTGAGGCAGGGAGGGGGTGCCAGCTCCAGAGTCCTATTGGTAGGTTGGGTTATGAGCCCTGCCCTCCATTTCACAGCAGAGGAAACTGAGGTCCAGAGACAAGAAACTTGCCCTCAAGGTCACACCCAGTCAATTAGTGGCTGGCACTGTGTGCAGTAAATTAAGGTCAGGGGTGCTGGCTGGTGTTTGGGATCCGGTTCTGTCACTGCGTGACCTCGTGCAAGTCACGGGGCCTTCCTCAGCTGTAAGATGAGGGTAATAATCACACAGACTACACAGGGTGAAGGTGAAGGTGAAGGAGATGGAAATAGGTGATACAAATAGCACAGCCTGGCCCATAGGTGGTGTCGAGTCATGGCAGCCTCTAGTGGAACAAAAATCCCAAACTTTGGGAAGGCTGTGGTGTAGCCAGCAGCGTGCTTCTCTCCTTCCTGCTCTCTTCCTTCCCAGGGTTTTGTTGTTGCGGTCCCTTGCCCTGCACCTGGCTTGGGTGTGCCAGGTATTCTCCCTATCTGTCCACGCCCCAGTCTACCCAGCACGTTGCCCAGGCAACGTGCCCTGACGTCGCTGCCAGGTCAGGCGGCTGGCCCCAGAGTGGAAGCAGCTGGCCGGGGGATCACATTCCCAGGTAAATCCCCACCCCTACCCCAACTCCCAGGGGTGCTGGGTTGGGTGGGGCTGCGGGGAGAACTAAAGTATTAAGGCAGGGGCCTTAATACTTTCGGGGCCTTGCACTTGCGTGCAAGCTGCTGAGAACTGTGTGTGTGGCAGCTGCTCAGCATCCTGAAACAGGGCCAGCTCCTGCCCTAGATAAGGCAGTAGGTGGCCTACTTGGGCCCGCCCTGGAGCTCCCCCACAGGCACCTCTCCCAGGTTCTGGGCAGGGGTGGGTTGGCTCCCGGAAGTAGGCCAGGGCTGACTATAATGAGCTCATCCCACAGCGAACATTCACTAGGGTCTCCAGAGGGCTCTGCCTCTTGACGCCCACAGCTGGCATTTATTGAGCACTTACTGTGTTCCGAGTCCTTTCCATGGAATAACTCACTTTGCCCTCACTCAACCCTGTCAGGTAGGAATTATGATACACAGACAAGAAACTGAGGCACAGAGTCATGAAGATGAATGTTCAAGGCCAACAGCTGGCAAGGACAGGGCTGGAACCCCTCCCCGGTTCTGTGAGACTCCAGGGGGTCCCATGGACACAGTCTGAGGGTGGTGGGAGGGGTTCTGGCTACTTTGCATTTCCATAAGGACCCCGAGGTCTGTCCTGGAAAGCTGGCTCCCCGTCTTGCTGTGTGATAGACATATGGCAGCCAAAGGAACTGTTCTTCCCAGGACTCAGTTTTGCCAGCTGTGGAATGGGACTGCTAACTGGGCCATTAATGGACTCTCAGGCCAACCAAATGAGAACCTGTGAAGCTGCTTAGAAAGGAAAAGGCAAGATACAGTATAGTTTGATGGATTCAAAATTCGGAACCCAGGTGAAACGGGGCATCAGTTTCCCCATTTGTTAAGTAGGGGAGAATACCAGTGCCTGCCTCCCATGTATGTGGTGAGGATTCCATGAGATAAGGGCTCAGTATGGTGCCTGGTTGTACAGTTGTTGCTTCAGACATCTCCACTGTGATTCCAAAAATCCATCACCGCCAAAACACCTGCCTTGGGGCCAAGCACTCCAGATAGAGTGTCACGTCACATCTCTTAACCTCAATTTCTTCTATAAGATGGGAGTATAATAACAGTACCTGCCAAAACAGTTTCTCATCTGTGAAATGGGGGTGATAACAATACTCAACCCGCTGTGTGAAAGATTAGGTAAAGTACTTCATTACGTGTTAGCTTCTTTTATTGTTTTTATTCTTTTTAAACTTAGCTACCAAATAGGTGCTCAATGATGATACTGGTTTTTCCACCCCGGTACCCGACAAAGGGGACTGCAAGTACCAGCATGCCCTGCACCACCATTTGGGGCCCCACCGCCCGGGGCCTGCGTGCTGCATACCGGGAGATGCAGTCCTTTCGAGGCTGGCCCCGCCTTGCCCCAACTTGGGGGAGGAGGTTTGAGAGCCGCCCTGCCGGTCTTTGAATTTTGCCGCGAAAAGCGCGCGTGGCGGCCCCCTCGGCCACGCCCCCCACGGGACGCGGCGCCGCGTCACCGTGGTAACCGCCTCCCGGACGTCGATGATTGGGTCAGACCGCAGAGGGAGGGCGGGGGGCGAGACACCGCGGCAGTTGCGGGCGCTTGCTCCTGTCAGTCGGGCCGGAGCGGAGCAGCGGGCAGGACGGCAGGGCTGGAGGCTCCGCGAAGAGGCTGCGTGCCCCAGCCAGGGAAGGCGAAGAGCCGGGCCCACCACCTGCGAGGCGAGGCGTGCGGCAACCGGATCTCAAGCGAGACGAGGCGCCGGCGCGCGCCAGGCGGCGCGAGGTTGAGGTCCCGGGAGCCCCCCGCATGCCACCCCGGGCCACGGGCGCGTGAGAGCCCGTGCGCGCCGCCCGTTCTGCACCTAGCGAGCTCGCACTCCCGGTGCACCGTCCTCCGGGCCGTCCCCACGCCCTCCCTGTTGTACCCGGACAGATTATTTCTCGGCGCTGAAGCCCCCGGGGCGGTATCCGAGCCTCCGCCGCCCGCTGTCACCGCCTCGGCTGCTGCTGCTCTCCGCCTTCCCCTCCCCCCACACCCGGGGCTCGGAGCAGGAGGAGGAGGGGCCGGTGTATTCTCGCTGCCTCTCTTTGCAACCTGCGGAGGCCCGTGCGTGCCCGGCGAAGCGCCCGAACCGCTGCAGGTGCGTGCAATTCTAAACGAGAAAACCCTCCCACCCCTGGGCGAATCCCAGGGCTGCAAGCCTCGGGCGGGCGCTCGAGCGACAGGAAGCAACAAAGACAGGCTGCAGCTGGGGCCGGCGAGAGGGGCCGCGGCTGCCGGGCTCCCGGCGCGGGCGGAGAGGGCGCCCCGGGGAGCGGTGAGGGCTGAGCTGCAGCCCTGAGCTGGACCCAGAGGGGAGGCGCAGCGCCGCCCGCGGGACGCGGTGAGCACAAGCCCGGAGAGGATGCGCCGCTTGAGCGCCGGCGCGGCGCAGGTTCTGGGCGGGCGCGACCCCTGCTAAGCGGAGACCTTCCAACCCCGACTTCGGACGGCGCGGGACGGCGCCTGCATTGGCCTCTCCGACAGCATCCCTTTCTATCCGGAGAGAGATATCGGCCCCCAAGAGGGGCCCTGTCAGGCAGCCTCTGTCACTTCTGCATGGCTGCAACCCTGCCAGCGGAGAGTCGCCGCTGAGACCTGGTTGATCCGGTGAGTTCCTCGGGGCAGGGTTGCCAGTTGGAGCTGGGGACACCCCCTGGCGTCGGGGCAGCCCGGACTGTTGGGGATTTTGAAACATAGGTGCTTCTTGACCCCCCCCCTTTCCTTCCCACACACAACTTGCCTGGACTCGCCAGCCGGCCGGACTGGAGGTCAGGGACTGTTGTGTGTACTCTGCTGGGCCCTGGGCCGCGTATATGTCACCCCATCCCTAAAGCCAGCAGACAAAAGTAGCAGCGGTAGCGGCTCTGTCTTCGGAAAATTCCCCGGGAATTCCTGCTCCTTGTAGTGTTTGAGAAGGGGGGCACCCAGCATGGGATAGCGTGGGGTTCTCCCAAGGAGCCTCTGAGGTGTTCAGGGCACACTGGTTCAGAGGGGTACGTGGAGACCCGGTGACATGCAGGTGGCCGCTTTGGAGGATTGTTTCCCTGAGGCTAGAATGCAGCAGGGTCTCCCCTTACAACCTATGTTCCTAGAAAAAACTGGCAGGTATGGCAGGTGCCCGAGGCAGCCGTGGCGTGACATCACTACCAGGCCTCTGATGTCACTGGGGTTGCAGTGGAGACACAACTTGTCTTAATCCAAAGAGAGTGTGAGGGCCACTGCACCCAAGGGTGGGGCTGGATGCCTCTGGGTAGTGGAGGGGTGAAGGCAGACACCCCACCCCAAATGCAGTCCCCTGACCTAAATCCCCAGTGCCCTGATGAGGTGGGGGAGGGAGGCAGCCCAGCTGTCTCTCATGCTCCTCCCCTCAAGGACAGGTGTTCGGCTTTGGTCATATAGCCTGGGGGCTTAGGACTCCCCAACAGCAACTTTCTGCTTTCAAAAGGGGTGCAAGCAGAGACCACCTGCTGAAACACACCCCCAGCAGGCTGAAGTTCCCTGGGTCCCCAGAGAGCTGTGGATCCCCTGCCTTAGGAGGGGCTGCTTCTGGTCAGGAAAACTTGGGTGCCTCACCCCCAGCCAGGGAAAGTAAAAGGCGCTGCTGCCTTCTGCCCCCCAAGTCCAGAGGGCGCCCTGCTGTTCACTGCCAAGATGAGGGGCCGTGGCCAAGCCCAAACTCCCGACTGCCCCACTCCTTTTGGTGTTTAAGATGATTTTGACAAGCTCCATGTGGTGTTCATTAAGTGAATGGAGGGCAGATCAGGCCCCTCAGTGCCAAGGTCTGAATAAAGCGTGTCTCTGCCAAGGAGCCAGTTTTCTTTATTTTTTTAAAGATTTTATTTACTTATTTTTAGAGAGAGGGGAAGGTGGGGAGAAAGAGAGGGAGAGAACTATCAATGCCCCCCACTGGGGACCCGGCAGGCAACCCAGACATATGTCCTGACCCGGAATGGGACCGGCTTGTAGGACGACACCAAACCCACTGAGCCACGCCAGTCAGGGCGAGGGGCCGGCACTGCCCCTGCCCCTCGTGAAGGCCCGGAGGGCCCTCAGGCAGCGTCCTGCTGCTGCCTCTTCGATGCCTCTTTTAACTTCCTTCCAGCAACTGTTGCCAGTGTCGGAGGTGCTGAGGTCACCTTTCTAGGAAAAGGTTAGAGAAGTGTGTCACTGCTTCAGTGGCTCGGGGTGGGGTGAGAGCAGGGGGTGGGGGTGTATGTGAGGTCATTATGAGAGGCCTGGCCCTGTCTCTATGCAGGAAGCATTTTTGTCTGTTCTACTCGGCTCTCTAGCTAGATGAACAGGTCAATAAATATCAGTGGTGCTGCTTTTGGGGGCTTTGCGGAGAGATGATATTTCTAGCTGAAACGGTGTCGTTAAACACACAGGCTTCCAAGGACAGAGGAGCAATAGCAGATGGGGAGAGAAGTGGGAGAGGTGGGCAGAAAGGCTGTTTGCGCTGCCTCTCGAAGCTTCCCAGTTTAGAAACACACTTCGAGTGCGCCGGAGATGCACACACACAGGCAGTTGGAGGTCCTCCACGGAGTATTTACACTTCCGAAGCCAAGGCGGAGGGAAAGGCTGTCAGAATTGGGCGATTCCTTCTGTTCCCTTCCCTGGGCTTGGCAACAGCACCAGGTGACGCACAGGAGGGAGCGCCAGCTTATCCAGCGTGCCAGCATTTCATAGGATCTCAGTTACTCTTTGCCGTGACTCACGTGCTGTGGCCCATTACACAGGTGAGGAAACCGAGGCTAAAACAGAGGAAGTGATGAGATGCAGGTGCTCAGCCAGGAAACTGCAGAGGTTAGGCTTTCAACTGTGCTAGCTTCAGAGCAGAGCTCCCAGGTCTTCCCACCCTCATCTGTGCGGGGGGGGGGGGGGGGGGGCACTGCCACCGCCCCTCATTGGACATAGTCCCTTCAAGAGTCAGGGGCCATTTGGCTATAGAGGAAATCTGGCCTCACCAGGATGTCTTGCCACACGGAAACCCAGGCTGGGATCCGGCTTCCCATTACCTACAGGACAGATGGAGCAGAGTAAGCACTTCTGCTTTGGCCTTGTGGGCAGCCTGCTTCCCCCCCCCCCCCCCCCGCACCTCTTCCTCCAGCACTGGGAGAAGGAAGGGATCACATGAAACCCGCCTGCCAGGAAGGGGCGCGAGAGCCGGCCTTAGGCTCCTTGTCGCCCGCCCCTGTGGGCTTACCCGGGGTGGGGTGTGAGGCTGCCCCAGCCATCCCAGGGTCCCTCTCGGAGGCACCCCATTGGTGGGAAAGTCAGGAATATAGATGGGGCAAGGGCATCTTTGCTAACCCAGCCTGGTGGTGAGGCTGAGCCCTGAAGGAGGAGTGCCCTTTGACTCTCAGAAAGGGCAAACAGGGATCGACCAGGCAGGGAGGTGAAAGAGTTCTGGGCAGCGGGAGTGGCCACAGAGGGGCCCTGTGATTGCTGAGGTGTGCTGAACGCGGGGCCGCGGGGCCCTGGAGTGTCCTGGAGGCCTAGGTAGATGGGGGAGGTGTAAGCAGGGGAGGGTCTCCCTTGTCAGAGATGGTGACCCTGGACACCCTTCCAGTCAGGGTGGGGAGAGCCTTCTCAGCTCCCTGGGCAGTCAGTCCTCTTGCGTCAAGGTTAGCTGTCCACTCCCCACCTTCAGTAATCCTTATCACTTACCTAATTCCATGTAAGCTCACCTATCCCATCCCTTCTGAGTCCCACGGTTGCTCTGCACCTGGGCTGGGTGACTTAAAGTCCCAATGGTAAAGAGCCCAGCTATGGAGCGGGTCCGTCCCCTGCTGGCTGTGTGACCTTGAGTGGCTAGCTTTGCCCATCTGAGCCTCAGTTTCCAAATCTGTGAGAAGGAGCTGATAATAGCACCCTCTTCCCAGGGCGTGGTAAGGATTCAGTGAGGGCTTAGCACAGGGGGTAGCATACAGTAAGCACACCATAAATGCACATTCTCCTGGCCATTGTCAGCTTCAACCTCAGAATGGAGCCTTGAAAGGCTTTCCCAGTCCCTCTTGGACCCAAAGATCAAAGACCCCAGGGCAGGTCTAGGCCTCCCACCCTTCCAGTTGCCTCTACTGGGTCTCCCACCTACCTACACTGGGTACCCCATATATGTGGCTTCCATCTGAGCTCCTGGGATGGGTGCTGGGGCCTGGCCAGGGGGCCCTTCCCCAGCCCCCCTCCTGCCCTCTCCGCCTCTCAATCCCTCACAAACCGGAGGAAGCAAGCGGAGCAGCTCATATTCATGAACCGTAATTCAATCAGGCGGCGATTCCTCTGGGCGTGGGGCGGGGGTGAGAACGAAGGGGCGCGCACAAAAGGGCCGCTTTATTACCTCCCGCGGGCCAGGAATTGCGGCTCTCCCCCGGCAGCGGCCGGAGCCTCCTTTATTGTGTTAACCCATTTGCGTGTCGAGAGCTATTGTGCGCTTTCTCTGCTAGTGCTGAGCAGGCTGCGGGAGGAGGGCTTGGCGCTGGCCGGTCACCTCCGCGGGCGCCGCCCACCGCCCTGATTGGTTGCTAAGTGATTTGCATCCAAGGTAATCACTTTTATCTCAGAAGGATGTCGACTATAATTATAAGCTACTGACATCTTTTGAAATCTGCCTAATGACTATTTTAGTCTGCACCGGGTGGGGAGGGGAGAATTCTGGAGGCTAGGGGAATTGGGGGAGGGAGAAGGCTGGAAGGTGGTTGAATTCCTTCCACCGGGACCTTTGATTCGTTAGTTGAGAAATATCTGAGTGCCTCCTGCGTACCTCGAACAAAAGATGGTGCGGAGACGGGGGTGTTGCCTTCCTGTGGGCGGAGTTGGTACCATTTCAGAGATGGGGAAAGAGAGGCGGTGGGGAATGAGCCCCCTGCCCAGCATCGCACGCCCAGTAAGTGGCTGGAAGCTGAGTCTACCCTCCAAAGTCCTGCGACGGCACTGGAGTGGGGTATAGACAGAAATAACGGAATCATTCCTGGGTCGGGGTCACCTGGCTGGTAACCTCCCTGGGCTTATGTCATGACCCCAAGAAATGCAGGTGCTGCGTCATTTTGTCAGGGAGGAAATGGGGCACAGAGAAATTATGTTGCTACCCAAAGTCACACAGCCACAGAGTGGCAGAAGTATGAGGTCTGTTGGTGGCCAGAAGTGGGATTCCAGCCCCACCCCCACCCCCAGCTGCATGTCTCTATTTGGTAAACACCTGGCATCAGCCTGGGCCAGGCACCCCGCTGGCCACTCTCTGGGTGGCACTGCTCTAAGAAATCAGACGGCCCACAGTTCCATGGGGAGTAAAATGATTTGCAACTCACCTGATTTCTGGACAGAGCTGGCGCAGGGCTAGAGGAGAGACATCGAGGTGGGGAAACTACAGCTGGTCATGGAGGGCTTCCTGGCAGGGGGCTCTTGCTCTGGGCCCTGAAGCCTGGGTAGATCTGCCCAGTATGCAATGAATGGGGATGTGACGGGCAGAGGGAGCTTGAGAACCAAGGGGCATGACCAGCAAGAGCAGGGGAAGCTTATAAGGGGGTAGAGGTAAAAGGGGGATAAATGAGGAGGGTGTGTGGGGGCTGGAGTGTCACTGGGGAGGAACCCCAGCTTGTGTACTCTCGCTG